TATCGGGTGACAGTGTACGAAGGTGATCTACATGGTGCTAGCCGTGTGTCTGCTTGTGGACTGCTGCTTGTTTACTATGTAGCTCACCTCCGTACACATAGTCTAGACTTTTAGCAATGCAATCTGGCCTAGCACACCGGCCTTGTGTTTCTTGAAAATCGTCAGGGATTGGCCCTTCGTATAGTCCGCAGCCACGATTGTCTGGTATATCATCGTCTTCGTCACTGACATGTATTTCTTAAACAGCATTTGAGTGAGTCCATCTTGTACTACCTCATTCAACTGCGCCTACAATATGTGCCACAGAGTATGTATCGCTCGACTTTACGGTGGCGGCCCACCCCTCCACCTCTCACCCGACCTCATGCCCACGGCTTCGCATCCCCTTACGCCTGTCTTCAGTCTCTCCCCTGACCCTTCCAGCCCACCCCCACCGTCCTCGATTCCCGCAGGACATCAAGCGGCGACCCCACGTTTTCTCCTCTCCCTCCTCGCAACCGCGACTTTCCTCGGCATGCCTGCGGCAGCGGCGCATGCACTCCAACTCATACTCGCGAGCGTTGGCCCTTTCACCGTAGTGCGTTACCTGAACTTTGCCATCGGGAAGGGCATCGGGCCATCTGAAGAGGCGGAGGCGAGTGAGGGCAAGGCCGCCGTAGGCCTCGATGGCGTCGCGGAGATCGTACCCGATGAAAGCGACGAGCCCGAGCTCATCGAGCACCCTTCACCAGAATCCCCTACCCCTACCGTAGAGGTGCAGCGGGAGAAGGACACGGAAACGATCACCAGCAAGTTCTCTACTCTCTCGACAGCTGATACTCCGCCGTCACCTGGCTTCAAGAAGGAGGCACCTGCTTCGCCACGATCTGACACGTCGTCGATGCTCGAGTCGCCATCATCTCTGGAGTCGCCGACGACCATGCGCGCGCAGCGGCTCGAGCCGAGCTACTGTTATGGTGCGGTGAGCGACAAGGTCGGCGAGACGGCAGCGTGCTGGATTGCGCGCTGGGGAGCGGACATCCTTGCACGCGAACTTGAGGTGGGACGGGAGGTGAAGGCGGAGGAGGGCTCAAGTGGAGCGAAGGAGCATGCAATCAGATGGCAGGGGCTTGGTGAGCAGGAGATGGAGATGGAGAAGGGGCAAGGGAGAAAACGCGGGTTGACAGCACCGTCGCGGCTCACACCACCGGAGGGCGTTGGGAAGGGCACAGGGAGGGCACTGGAGGGCGGGGAGCGGGCGGTGCCTGTGATTTGGCGCCGCGGGGGCCTGAGTGCGAGGTGGGCGCGTGGGCTGATCTCGAGCGATGCGTTGTTCGTGCGGGGAGAGCGGGAGCGATATGATATGGCGAAGACGGTCGTTGAGCTTAGGAGGAGCGTGCCTCCGGAGGAACTGGAGGACGTGGAGGCAGAGGAGAAGGTGTGGGAGGAGCTCTTCCGCACGGGGATATACTATGAGAATATGGTAAGTTATGTTGCAGTTGATCACTGTTGAGCAGTGTTCTGATGTTCCGCAGGGCTTGGACGACATGATGGAAATAGCGAAGGACGTCTCACCAAGCACGGGCCAGCCCTATGTTCCATTGGCCGTGCTTCAATCTGCGCACTGGAACCAAGATGTTCTGCGGCATCGCATCACGTCTCGCCCTCGCGGACCCTCGTCGCCGTCCCCTCCACTTTCGCCATCCGCGCGTGACAAGGAGCTCGGCCTCGGTGTGTTGAACACCAAACTCAGGAATGAGACGGAACCATCTTGGTACCCTATTCCTGGCGATTCTTCCGTGCGCATCGGCGACAGCGCGGGGGTGGAGGGTGCCAGTACAGAGCAACAGCTCGTCGAACTCGTCACGTCTTCGACACTCGACACCGGCAAGAAGGGCATTCGGACGTGCGAAGAGAACTTCTTCGGGTTGCAGCAGCAGCGATACACCCCGGAGTCCGCCTCCGTGCATGGCGAGGTCGCGAGCAAGTTTACGCCGCACCCGCCGTTTCGGTTTAGCGTCGAGTTTTGGGATGTGGACACCCTCAAGGAGAAGAGCCGTTTGCATAGCCGCACGGTGTGGTACGCCGGGAGCTTGTACAACGTGTATGTGCAGGTGGTGCGGAAGAAGGGAGTTCAATTGGGTGTATACCTTCACAGGCAAAGCTCCGTGGACCCACTTCCGCCGTGCTCAGCGCCAGCTATACCTACGCTGGCAGGTTCGACCGGTAGCAGGACGCCTGCTCAACTGTCTGCGCACTCTGGACGACCGGCGAGCTCGAGTGTCAGTGGCAGCGTCGTATCATCGCCTCGACCGCATTCGTCTCACTCGCACCCGACCACCATAGGCTACTCGTCTTCCGGCCTGCCCATTCTGCCGCTGTCGCGCAGCACTACGCCTGTCTCAACACCCTCATCTGGGCTCGCCTCGTCCTTGCCCTCAAGCAGTAGCAGCAGCATAGTCGCGTCTGCACCCTCACTGCCGCTCATGCTCCCCGCCACAGCACCTGCCTCGGCGCCGCAGCAGCCCTACCGGGACCCGCGGCCTGCAGTGAGCGCGTACTTCGCTATTGCGTGTGCGAGCGCGACCGGCGGGAGCATGACGCGGTTCACGAGCACTCCGGACGTGTTCAGCGTGAGCCAGAGCTGGGGCTGGAAGAGCAGCAGCTTGCGCACGGACGAGTATCTAGAGGTGGGTGGAGATGGGATGCCCAGGAGTGCCATAAGCACGCCTGCGAGGAAGGAGGTCAGCTTGCGGGCGACTGTGGTCCTCGGCGTGGTCTAATCGTCACCAGCACTGTCCTGCACCTCCTTGCCCCACATGATACCCGACTCAGGGAGGATACTTTATGCTACCACCACTCTATACTGTTGCTTTATGTCGTCGTCTTATTATCTGCTTTCGTGCACTACCTACTGTACACTCCGTCTCATTACAGTCAACCTCAACCTGTTTTATACTGCGAATGATATGAACCTAACCTCCGAACATTGATCGGTGCTACCTTGTTACGTTCCACTGCTAATCGGGCGCTGGCGCTGGCCAGTTAGCAGCAAGGCGCGAGAAAGTGCGTCTGCTTCCGTGGCAAGGAGCTGTCTGCCCTCCTTATTCGCTCGCTCGCCTCCTAACTCACAACCACCAGTCGCCTACCGAACCCGGGATGTCCTCCATACCGGCCGTGACGACAACAACGACAACAACGACAATGACAACGATTCGAGACTCGGTGGGTGAGGCTCCGCCCCTGCCTCCCTTGCCCAACCCATCTACGGGCAGCGCGAATCCTGCGGCTTCTTTGCCCGCCTTGTGGGGCTACCTCCAGCCCGCACTCGACCACATGGTCCGCTCGCCTACGAACAATCCTTCGAAAGCTCCTGCAATTGAAGTCAGCTACCACATGGGTGTGCACACCGCCGTCTACAACTACTTTACCTCCCAATCTGAGCAGGTCGCGCCCCCGACGGGGCCCGGTTTCCGCAATGGTCTGTCGCCCCCGCCTCAAGACAAGGGCAAGGCGAGTGGCACGGATCTGTACGACCAGCTCGACCGCTACTACGCGGATGCCGCGCGAGAGATTTTCCTCGGTACGCCTGCCGACGACAGCTCACTCGTGCATTACCTCGTCCCATGCTTCAACCGGTACTCTGCCGGTGCTGTGGCCGTTAGTCGCCTCCTCAACTACGTCAACCGTCACTATGTCAAGCGTGCCGTGGACGAGGACCGCGGCTGGCTCCGCTTCGCAGACATACTCGACGCTGTCGCGCGCACTATCCGCGAAGATGACAATCGCGAGAGGATACACCGCCGCCTGCGCGAGCGGCGGACGACGGAGTTGAAGAAGTTTGGCTATGTGGAGGGCGCATCTGCCGCGGAGCTCGCGCAGGTGGAAGAGTACGCGGAGGCGGCGAGTCCGACCGACCGCGTCATTCATCTCACGGCGGTCGCGTATCGTCGCTTCCGGCTCGAGGTGCTCGAACCTCTGCTCACGGTGCCGAAGATGAAAGGGACAGGGAAGAAGAAAACGAAAACACCGCCGCAGAACGGTGATAAACCCCCCATGCCGAAAGGTCGTCTCGCGCGCTCGGTGAAGGAGTTGCTAGAGTCCGAAGGAGGGGATGAAGAAGAGAAACGAAGGCTCGCAGGTGGCTTAGCTGTCATGTTGCGGGCGTGCGGAATAAAAGTCGATCATCCACTTCGCAAGAAACTCGACAAATTCATACCGCCTCCCGAGGAGACCGAATCCGCTAATACAACATGACGGACGTAAGACTTGTTTTGAGTTTTTCTGGCTATGCGGGTATCTGTTCTTGTATGTCTCGTTCTGAGTGTTACGACGCGGACGTTGGCGGTGGATTGATCGCCTGGCATTGAGACAAAAGTGTTGTAGTGGACCAGCACCCGACCAGTACCCATCCTCCTGTGCGCGGTGCGCGTGAAGCTCAGATATGGGTCTACATAAAGATAAAGATCATGAGGACATGTGGATATTGGGATCTCCGCACCGGGGTCAGCCCACGTCACACACACCCTCTCTCCCAATAGTTCATCTATAGACACGGGCGTAAATTTCCCCTGAGAGGATATAGTAGAGAGTAGTACGTGCAGCGGAGCACGCTTGTCACCCCGCTGACCGACGTATTAAGTTGATACTGCGCCCAGCCATCCGCATTATCTAGAAGCTTGCTATAGTTCTTCTCTCAAGTATGATCAATATTGACTTCGCTATGATTAGCAGGCATCATGCACTTCAGGAATGCGCCGGGATGAGTCTCGTTACACTCTGTCACGTCTGTGACAACAACGTGTGACTTCTTCCCTTCGAAGTCTCTAGTCCTTTGTAGGATTAAAGCTTTTAAGAAGTGCCGAGTTTTGGAAGAAATTCTATTGAGAGTCCGCATGTATCTCCCTACGGAAGCTAGGGGCGAGAGAGGAGTCAAGTAGACATTACCTCCCTGATTAGGCAGTGAGCATCTGTTTCCTTAGGAGGCGTGCATATGATTACACAAATTGTCCGCAGATCATGGCCGACTGGCGAAATGGCATCGCGTCTGACTACGACTGTGTGATGCAGTTGACATCAGGAGATTGCAGGTTCGAGACCTGCGTCGGTCATGTTTTAGCTTTTTGAATTCTAGGTCGGTACAGCACTATGCATGCAGAGCGTAGGCTACCTAGCATTGAGTGAGGACACTGTTTATCAAACATTGCTTCTGTCTATCCTTTGAATATCTGTGACCTTGGCTGAGGTGCAACTCTGACCTGGTATTTTATTGGCTGTGGGGGAGTCGGGTGAGGAGTGGAGATGACCACCTATCCCAGTCATGCCGGCGCGAAAAGAGCGCTCGCAGAAGAGCAGTGTATGGCTGGAAGAACAAATACGACGAAACAGCGACATCGGCAAAGGAACTAGCTTCATTGAGCTCAGAGCAACATACAAGCAGATCGAAAACCGGTAAAAGACGGTACTACCGATTCCCTGAGGCACTCCGGTGGACAAGGTCTCGCCAGGAGACACGTCTCACGCTCCCGTCGCTCAGCTGCGCAGGACAACGCGGCAACGACTGCTTGTAGGATAGGCCTGAATAATCCTTCGTGTCCCTCCGGGTATGCAGCCCTTCCGGGGGTGACGTCAAATGGAAGGATCTATCCACTACAGCACCGAAACTGTCATCTGTGGACTTTCGCGCTAGTCCTGGTGGGACTGCCTCCCCGCGAAGGGTACCCACCCCAGGCCGAAGGAATGAGAGCTGGGGGAGTCTGGACGGGAAGGGAGAGGCACCTGCGCGGAATGCGCCCGCAGATATTTTCGCTGGCCGCCTCCGATTGTAGGTGACATGGGGTAAGTGCACGTCGTGAGGGAAGGGCTCACGCGTCGTTCGCCGGACCAATGGCTGTCGTTTTAGCGACCGAGACCCGACCTCCGTGGGTACATGATCCCCCTTGAAGTATTCGGGCTCGTGATACGAGCCGGCCATGCTTGCAGTGGGTCGGGATCCGATGCGCCTTACAACACCCGCACGGGCATGTCGCTCGGGGAATCGCGTATAGCTACTTGAAGCCCTCTGATACCTGGGCCTGCTTAGTTTTTGTGCCTGTTCTTTCCGTAGCTTGCGCTGGTAATACATCCACAGTGCGCCTGCGACGAGGAGTATGATACCGACCAATGAGAGAGGAACGGCATATGCGGCCGTAGGAGTGGGGCTACGCAGCGAGTTGTAGTCCGATGCTAAATGACTAGATGACGAAGCGGAAATTTGGTTCGGGACGGCAGCAGCAGCTGTCGTAGCTGGGACTTCAACAGGGGAGTGCGTGGAGGACACGGGTGCGACTGATGTAGCTAGAACACAGGTGTCAGGATGGCTCAGAACTGGGCTCGAGTCAACCTACATTTGAGTGAGAACTGCGGGGAGATAACACTCTTTTCCGATGTCGCATCAGACATTTGGAGGTGAAATGAGGCGATGATGGCGCCTGCAGGCAGACCCCTGCATGTGAAGAGTGCTTATGAGCACCGCCATGAGGGGGCAAGGGTACAACAAACGTACAGGTGAACTATCTCCGTGCTCCCGTTTTCCTCGACGATGGGCCATACCGCGCTGCCACATTCCACTGAAGGCTCGTCACCACCGCCGTATCCAGATGTACATAGACTGAATGATGGCGAAGAGAACGAGTCGTTTGCAGTCCATTGTCCGACGATAGTGTCTCCCCACTTGTAGACTTCCCCCGCAGCAGGACTGAGCCAGGTGACGTCACCAGCGTGCACACGGGAGGCCAAGTACACGATAGGAGGGAAAGAATGGAGGAAGCTGCCGGTAATGTGACGTCTGCGCATAATCGCAAAAGAATGGACAGTACAGGGCCGGCCCTGGAGGTTATGGCGCCGTCTAGGCTTCAAGGAGGATTGGGATGAGTGAGTGGGGAGAGGGTAGGATGTTCGAGGCTGACGAACGATCGACCAACCGCTCTGCAAACATTGCGACTTTGACCACAGCCGATCGACAGCCACTTAGGAAGTATATCGACTACCACGCTGCAGGCGTAGACGCAGTAGAATCTATCTCCATCTTCAGCTGTGAAGTGGCCGTAGAGATCGCCTCCACATCTGAAGAGAACTTGGCCAACTGCTGTCTGTATGAGCCGTCATATCAAGCTCAGCGGCTGCAAGACAATATATAGACGCACTTCTTTCGTGCTTTCAGCCGCTCCAGCATTGCAATGACCTCATCCTGCTCCTCCACCGATAGCTCGCCTCCAGGAAGACTACTCGCAGTCTCCTTCGCCTCCTTCAAATTGTCCCTGAAGTTGTTTGTCTGCTCACGATGAGCCGCACAGCCGCACATATAACCATGAAAACGTACCGCTTGAACCAAAGCCTGCTTTGCCTGCTGCGTCGATGCACCTTCTGTGGCTTGTTGCGTCACTTCGAGGACCTCCACAAGCTTAGGCAGAAGGCTCTCATATACTGTAGACATGATTCAAACAGCGACACGTTCACAAGTTTGAAGAAATGTGGCGCCAGGCGCTGGCAGCCACAATGATGGGCGCTTGCACAGCACGTTGAACATTTATTCAAGCGCGCGCTGCATTCATCTTTTTGCTGTACATCCTACGGTGCTCCACGGTATACGTTTACTTCTTGAACGGCATGGCAGATTATTTCTCTGCAAATAACAAAACAATGAGAACCACCACTGCTGCTCAGGCTACCAAGACGTAGAGTACGGGCCTGCGAGATCTACTCGCCACGCTGCGGAGTCCCTGCCGTCGACTCTCGCGAGTGGATACGCATATACGTGCTAGCTACTGTATATCTTATGGGCAGTTAAAACCTTGAGAAATAACAAGTGAGTTACTATCAGCGAGTGCCCATGTCATGCCTGACGCACACACTCAGACAAGCTCTAGTGAAAACGCGGCATTGCATTGCAGACTTACGGTCAATGTTTTGATCTGGCTGGCGTCCACAGTCGTGATCTGCCGCGGGTATTGGTATATGAACCGAATCAACGCCAGATATTCAAAGGCGCATGCTGGTTGTCATTCCAATTGCGTTTATAAAGCGGTCCAGGTGTCCACCTGTCCGCCCAACTTCTTGCACACGCAGTAGTACCACCTATACCTTCTCTCTTCTTACCCACACTCCACGATGCCTTCTGCTACCTTCACTGCTGTCACCTTCGGCATGGCCATCTCGCATGTCCGTTCCCGCAAGGTCGCCAGCATCCATCACCACACCAACGCCTCTTCTCCCATGACACTCATTCCGCTCCACGAGGCGCAGGCCAGTCCCGAGATCAAGTACCGCGGTCTTTACGAGGAGGCGCAAGGCCCCAAGATTGTCGAGTCGGGCATGGGCATGCGTGCGTACAACCCTGTTTACGGTGTCTTTATCCCGCTTGTCTCTCTCAAGGAGGCTCAGCGGAGTGCAGCGATCAGATACCGGGGCCTCTGAGGCATCCTGGGCTGTTTCAATGCTCGTCGTGATTGGTTGGGCGTCGTACGCTGCGATACTGTCGATCTATAGGCGCGCAGGTGCGATGTCGGGCGGATGGGGTGGTCAATGACGCCATGGTCTTGTCTGACAAGTGCTCGAAGGGGGTCGGGTTTGGCCAGCTCGCCCCTAGGTTGGATTCGGGGCAGACCGTCGGTCGAGACTGAAAGTAGCCGCTGGTCTGTGTGTCCATGGGGCGTTGGTCACCAGCCAAATAAAAGCTGGGATGCGGTGTCAGATTGGAGTGTGATGTGGCGGCACCGGAGGGGACGCCCAATGGATCGCTTGCTGAAGCCTCTAGGAAGACTAAAGCCGCCCTGGGGATTGGGCCGGCGCTGGTCGTTGTGCTCTGGTTTCGATTTGTTACGGCTCAGCGTTTGGTCGGAAAAATATAACGAGAAAAAAAAGTGGATAATATGAACGCACAAAAACAGTGTTACGGTTCCGTTATTGTCTGCACTGATCTTTTGAGTTTCAGAACACGGACCGACCTTCGACTCTGAATGAATGGTACGACGCGCTGCTGAAGACCAGGACCAGGACCAGGACCAGGGCTACGACCGGGATCACCAGGTATCACCGTGCACTAGGTGGAGTCTCCATCGGGGAGTCATGCCCCTGGTGGTCTTTACTTCGACCCCGCGGTGTTTGATTCACCTCTTTGTTGTGGTTGAGGTCACCGTGAATTGTGCCTCGCTTAGTCACACACCAACACCTGACCTTCTGTACATCATCTTGTTTCAGGTTGCACTGCGAGCGGTCGTTCGGTTTGGGTTGCGGATGTGCGAGAGTTCGGCGACGTGGGCGCGCAGTGCCGGCTGCATTACGCTCATTCGTCTGCTCAGACACTGACCCTCCTTCCATGGCTGCCCGCCCCGTAACTGGGGAAGATAAGTATCGCTCTACTCTCGTACAAAAAGTTGAACTGACTTACCTACATTTCTCTAGCGCTCCTCGTCAAGTCGCGCTCGATAGCGATTCAAAGGGCAGCTCCAGCTTCTTCTGCTTCCCCCGGCGGAAACCGTCTCTCTCCTTATCATCACGTATAATCGAATGCAATTCCTTCAGCTGGTCAAGGTAAGTCGTCCTTTTGCTTCCTGTGATTGCCGGTAATCGGATACTTGGTTCTCAACTAGCTGGTGACAGGAGATGCGGGAGTGCGCCGTGGTTAAGATGTCTGCATGCGACCTGCCGGCGGGCCGTCGTGTATTCGGTCGGCCCTTTTCTATTCCACATCCTTCGACTACTTGGCTGACGTCTGTTTGCAGAACCAGACACGTCGTCTGATTACACAGAAGAAGGATAAGATCAATCAGACTCCGCGCGTGTAGCACCATCAAGCCGAGTGTTAGCTGAACTGTGTCCTGTACGCGACCGGGTACGTGTGTTAACAAGAGTCTATGTGTAGGGGAAGTGTTCGGTGAGAGATGGGAGGCGGACGTATCGCGACTTGATCACTCGCAGTACGTTTGCCTCCCATCTTGAGCCATCTGGTTGGTGGGCGGGGAGACGGTGGTGCCATGGACTTGATCTCCCATGACACAATCGTCGTGCCTTTTGGGCGCCTATTTTTGGGTGCACTGCGAGAGGGCCGTAGAAATGACGAGATAATGGACAG